GGCAACGGGAAACGATGCGAGACCAGTCGAAAAGCGACGATATACGCGAGGTCGTCGAATAAATTTCGCTCTTAGCAGTCTTCGCTCTTAACCCTTTGCCGACCTGATCACCTTTTTAGTCGGCTTTCCCGTATTTTACATCCCCGTCTCTCCCCTGGCGGAATAAACGCTCGAATAAATATGGGATGCGACTCCCGATTCGCTCGTTGATTACGTTTCCCATAATTCAACTTTTTTTCCTTTTTTTTTTTCGTTGACGATGAATCGGGGACTCGCGATTTTACTCTCCCTCTTTTCTATCTTGCTCTGTACTGTTATATATATAACGCGTTTGTTATAAATTTCTTATAAATTTATTTGTAATAATCTGCGAGTTGTGACGCATTTATCATAAATTTATTTGCAATCATTTATGTATGTTCCCTCTCGGTGAACGTAATTAAGAGCGACAGGACAATTCTTTAATATCGCGTGCGCAAGTTGAAATAACGAGTAACGAGATTGTTGACGTTCTAGAGGCAGCCGTGACAAAGTACGAGTTTTATGCAAACGGAATAATATATTTCGATATCCTAGACGGTGCTGGACCGACATTGCGTTTGCATAAATCAGAGTTATTCAATTCGGACGTAACTCGTTACAAAGTGCAAATGTTTTGAAAGCTTTGGCAGGAATGTCTCGCGTGTCCGAGCGCGAGGTCAGTGGTTTCATTCTTTTTCTTTTTTTCTCTTTTTCTCTTTTTTTCGGACGAATCTAATTTTTCGATACCATCATCGGGTATTTAATTGCGTTCCGTGGACGAACGTGCCTCTGCCTCTTGAACGTGTTCGAACTAATTACGACCGCAATAAAAACGCGATTGCACGAATTGGACGTTGTTCGAATTTCAATACCGGATAACGAAACTCTCGTGAAATATCGTTCGTAAATATCGTCCTTAGGAGACAATAAATTTTTCACCGCCGATGTAAATGTACAACCCGATATTTAATTTCGTTGATAATCAACAACACGTGTGTTGAATATTTGTTGGGGAGGGAACTAAATAACGAGATAAATTACGCTAAATCGTGCGTTTTCCTCGTCGGCAAAGCCTGCTGTTAATTGGTTAATTTCGAAACACCACGGTTAAATTATAACTAGTCTCTGCATCGTGAAAATACCAATTAGTATAGAACAATATTTAAGCAGCGTTCCTGAAAAAAAAAAGGAAAAAGGAAAAAAAGAACGAACGTCATTTCCAATATTGAACAAGAATTAAACGTATGTACGCGTGACCACAGAGCATGCAATCCCCTCATCCAGAAGTCAACTGAAAAATCCGAAGCGTGTCTCAAGACCGGAAAGATTCTCGCGTCGCAGTCGAGCCCGAAGCGTTAAACAATCGAGATAATTATAAGTACAAACGCGTGTAGTTCTCAGCGTATGTTTGTCCAGCGACTCTCCAGCGGAGAGATTTCGTTGTCTGTGGCGCGGAAATGATTTCATTTCCATCAGCCTTGGAAATATTGACCGAATTCCTTGCACTTTCTACGCGAAAATCAGCCAATATGTTCCGGCCTCGTTCGCCCGTAGGCACATACGTATTTATGTACGCCGACGATTACGAAACTGTATATAACGACGAGATTATCCAGCGTGAGAAATACTTGCGGCGCGTTGCCATCGCTAATATCCGCGAGCGTATGATTCACCTGCAACGTCTCGATGTCTCAATTTCCGAAATGAGTGGCTGGAATTTCTCTCTCTCTCTCTCTCTCTCTCTCTCTCTGTTTCTCATTTTAGTTTCCCTCCGGTATTCTTGGTAAATATTAACTAAAGAGCGTTGGTATTCAGCCACGTACGCGTTCGACGTCGAACATTCGAGTTCGAATGCGGCTGTTATGCCGCGAAATAAATTACACAAACGACCGACACGTTCGTTCTTCTACCGCTTCGAATCTATCCCACCTCTCGTATAAAGATAGCACACCCAATGTTTTCTTATATCGTGCATCGTAAAGCAGAGAGAAGATGCGTAGATTGCTATTACATCAGTATCCTTGGGGTGTGGATGGACATATATGTACTATGTTGAATGTTATTACTGAGACACGTAATTTCTCAGAAATACCGAAACGAAAATGTAAATATTATAATCCGTAGCCTTGAGGCAGACGACCCAGTCGTACAGAAGCCATCGTAAGCGTAACATTCGTGCGAATTATAATCAGTTAAGTGCGTATTAATATTTGTGAAAATGGGTCGCGAAAAGAAGTTAAATCCAGTTGAAATGCGCGTGATATTGAAATTAAACGAAAAACGTTAGCCCGTGACAAAAATGGCCGAGACAGTTAAGTGACAATGAATTTCCTGCAATGAAATCCCGATAAATTATGGAAAAAGAAAAAGTTGTGGATGATACGTGCTGTAATAGCGTCGAATTCAAGCTCGACTGCAAGACAAATTGCAGAGAAAGTTGGAGCTACGACAAATGCCAGAAACGTCTTTCAAAGAATTGTGAACATTCGAAACGACGAAAATTGCAACGAAAACCTTGGTCAAGAGCATAAGTTGTGTCGCAATTTGCAGAGAAACATAAATTGTACGGATAAAAAATGGCAAAGTATCACTCATATTTGCCGACGAAAAGAAGTTCAATTTAGACGGACCTGATGGCCTCCACCATTATCATGATTTACGAAAGGTGCAATAACTTCTGATCCGTCGACCCATGGGAGGCGACGGTATAATGATTTGGGGAGGTATCATAACTAAGATGAGACGGAGATAAAATTTATTAGAGAAAAATTAAATAGTAAAAAGTATATCGAAATGATTGGCGAACAAATTGACACGTATGCAACACAAATTGCCGAAAATAAGTAAATTTTTTCAACATGATAACGCAGTGAAACAATACTTTGCAAACAAAAGAATTCGTGTTTAGAATGACCAGCCAAGTCTTCGAACTTAAATATCATAGAAAATTGTTGGGGGAATTTGGCGAGGGTTGTATATACCAGAATGAAAGATAATTCGTAATATTAGTGAATTTAAAAATTTAAAAATTTTGCGGAGGAGTAGAAAGAACCAAGCCAAAAAATCATTAGGTAGCTATATTTTGTTAAATGTAAAAAAGGTTATACCAAGTATTGAACAGTAATCGTTTCTTTTGTTTCTATCCATTGTTTTTCACGAAATGTGCTAAATATTACCATATTTCTATTTCTTTTAACACTAGAACTACCAGACTGATCAAAATGACTAATTTATAATTTTCTGTGGAAATTTCACATATTTACAGCAGTGTATTTTATACTCGAGCGACTTTTTAATAAAGTATATCAATAGAAGCTTGTATCCTTTATATTGAATTATTAACTTTTTCTTGTACCTTGCGCTTGAATTTCTTTGCCATAAATATTATACTTTTTCGTCGGTAGTTCTGGCGTTAATAACACAAAATGTATTGCAAAAAGTTTAAATAAAACACGTTGATAAAAGCATGCAAAAGAGATTGCACACAATCTTCGTTTAATAGGAAGAAATTCAGTAATTTTCAGACTGTGCTATCTTTTTGTACCGGGTACAAATATACGTCTCGTACAAACGTAATTGCCACAGCCGACGCGGAAAAATCCTGTGGATAACAAGGTTTCCGCGTGAAATCTGCCCCCCTTCACCAGACAGGTTCCTTCTGAGAAAGCTCCTAATGACGTTAATGACGTTAATCGTCCCACCTATTGCTCCGACGTGAGTTTACCTGGCTGTCGAACGTTTCCTGCCCGCGAGAGGCACGCGAGCGCGCGAAAATCAATTCCCACGGTGCTTTCACTCCGACCTAATGCGTCATTATCGGCGCGAGAAGATCGCCGTGCGACAAACGACGTGACGGGGCCCGTTCAACGAACGACGAGAAGGAAACGAACCGGTCGTCGGTCGGCGAAAGGAGCGACGGTGCACGCGTGCACGCGTCGTGACACGCTGATTTTCATCGTGGCAAAACGAAGATTTTTCCACGGCTTCCAACGCGATCAGGCTCTCGAGCGTCTCTCGCCTGATTGACAGGCGAATCGTCTTCGTCGGTGAGCGAAGAATCGCGAAGCACCGACGGGAGTTTATCGATTTATTCCACTTTCTACCGGTGGTTGTCGGTCGAGACTCGGCGGATCTTTTCTCGCGGTCTGGGAGTAGTTTCGAGCGAAACGAGAACTGTCGGCTGAGAAACGACAGGCGCGTCTTTCGCCGAAAGCTCGCGACGAACGAGAAGCGTCTGCCGCGAGTTTCTAATTTATGAAAGGGGAACAAAAGATGTGTGATTCCAGGGCGCCGTGTGTATGCTGTATATATTCGCTCTTATCTAGCTTTTGTACGTCGGTAAGTTCGAAGTGACGCTTTTGTCGAGAGATGCGCCCGCGATACGCGTGAGATACACCGATCGCGGAACGCATCGACGATAACGAGTTTTTTTAAATCGCGAGGAGGATTCCCTCCCCCCGTTGCCGAAACGGACAACGTCGTCTCGAGCGTTGATACGTCCGACGATTGGCAAACAAGAGGATCAAACGGGTTTGATCGTACGAACGTACGGGTCGTAGATCATGCTACCTCACAGATCACTTTCGGTCGCAATATATCGACGTATCCGAAGGGCGATTATCGACGAGCGAACGTGTAAATCACACGCGCGGAGACCTTTAGCCGCGTAATTTATCACCCACTACCTAACCACGATGACAAGTCTCGCCCTGTAAATAATTTATTGCGCGATCTAATCGCTCGCTGACCTCTATTTTTACCCCTTGTTAACGCGAAAGCCTCCGGCGAACCGTGTCAAAGGTCTCCGCGTAAGCGTGAATCACCGCCGGTTGCATTCCAGCTGCGTGTTTCCTCGTCGAGATTGTACAACGATCGCTCGTTGGCTCTCTCCATCGTCCGAAAATTACCTGTCAAAGAACCAATGCGTTTCCTTACGACAGCGGCCACGGTAAAACATCGATCGTTTGATTTGATTTCAGCAATAACAAAGGAGGATCCTGGCAACGTGGACAGAATTCCCAGAGGTCGAGCCCCAGTCCCAGTCGGCTTCACCACACGCAGGAAGCAGCCGCGCCTCACACAGCTCCTGTTTCCGTGAGTATCCGAATCCCTCCGGAAATTGAATCGTTTTTTTATTGTAATGCCCGGGATCGTTCCGTCGGAACACGCCCAATCACCATACGATTCGTTATCAATCATCGATTGCATTTTCATTTCTCGGCGATATCTCAAAATTGGAAAAAAAAAAAAAAGAAAAAAGAAATGAAGAGGAGAAAAGAGTGAAAACGGGGGGGGGGGGGGTGGATGAAACGCCGGAAAGACGCTTTCAGATGCTTTAAACATTCGAAGATCAGCGCTACCGCGTTTCCCTCCTTTTAAAAGTTTCGGTGGTCGATTCACCGGCAGGCTCTCGCAAACTTTCTTTCCCAGGAGAAGTTGCGAGCGGCTCTCTTGAACTTTTCAGCCGTCTTATAGCGTCTCCCGGAGCGCGCGATCGATAGAACGTTCTCGAGCGTTCCTCTATCCTCCTGAAATTATCACTGATTTTCCCAATCGTTTCGCAAACCTCGGTGAAGTTGCTAGAAGCTTCTCGTCTTCCCTCTGTATAATATTATAGCACGAGATCCTAACTCTCTGACGTAACGTCGAAGTGAAAGAAATTTTGTCTCTCAATTCGTTCTTGCGAACCTCAGCGAGGAGATGCGTGACGCAATCTCAATTAATAACCGATTGTAGCCACGCGATAAATTATCACGAGTACGTTGTTTCCACTCTTGCCATGTTCGTACGATCGTTGCAAATAAATCCGCGAACTTACAACAATGCGACAGTTAGCACGAATAGAACGTTCCGGAGGTTTAATTAAGCTGACCCGAATCACCGCGGCTAGACCTTTGTTTCGCAAAGTTTGCTCAAGAAATGCTGGAAGAAGGACAGTTTCTCGCGCAACTTTTATAACGTTTCATACGCTTTCGCTGTTAAAAGCATTCGCTTGCAGCTAGTGGAAAGGATCAGCCCTCTCAACATGCACTTTCATCCTAATTCCTTGCAAGAAACTTTCCAACGGTACGAAACGAAAAGAGCTGTGTAGCTTTTTCGATGTGCAGAAACAGTCGTGCCAAGTAACGTAACGATTTCATAGAAGCCTAGTTCCAATAATTCTCGATCAACGCATTAACGCACAATTTTGTTTCTCGTTCAAGAGTTTTAGGATAGGTTGTTGAATTAATTTCGAGACTGAAAATTGTACTTAACGAAGATGTTGAGAAATTAACAATTTTGTTCAAAATAACTTGCGCTTCTGCCAGTGTTTATAGATTTTTTTTATATGTAATCATCTTCTTTTGTTAACACTAGAGCTACCAAAATGGTCAAAATGACCAATTGATAATTTTCGTTTAGATACTTTATAGATTTTTGGAGACTTGAATGATTCTTCGTAAAATACATAAATGAAAGTTTGTGTATTTTCTGTTTCTTTTACTTTAACATCTCTGATGGAAATTCTATGTTTTAGTCGTCGGTAGTTCCAATGTTAGTAATCATGTTCAACTTTGGTTGAAATATACGTGTCGTAAACTCCATCGTGTATGACCCGATTACACAGTCTCACTGCCCAGTACATACATTTATATATAACTATAGATATCTACTTTCGTTGAATAAGTTAAGTGATCTAAGAGTAGTATATGTCTAAGCTTCGCCAACGACGATCCTCGTGCGCGATTAACCTCTTACGCTGGAATATGACGTGCCACGCACGTCGAGAATCCTTTGTCCCAAAATTGCAATATTTTCTCAGTTTTATGTATATTTAAGTAAAACTTCTCAATAATTTCTATCCAGTGACATCGTGCCGACGAGTTCAAAAAGAAAGCGACGAATTATTGTATACGGTTCGGTCGCTCGTTATGGTCCGCAATCAGTTGCCAGCGCAGCTGGTTAAAAGAAATAACAAAGTCGTCGCGACCACGTCCATCTCCCGATACTCTACGTAATCGTTTCGAATTACCGAGATCTCCAGTGACGGAGACGGCGGGTGAAAATAGACAGAACAGAATAGACGCGACGACGGCGAGATGGACGGTTTACCCGGCTCGTTTCTCCTCGCATCTCCTCCGGAGGGGGATAACGCGTCCGAGATTTGCATCTCCGCGTGGGAATTCCACGATCTCGCGGCACGAATCCGAAATGCGACGTGCTCGCGTCAATATCCGGGCTCGAAAAGCGGCGGTTCCTCGAGTTGGATCTTCGAACGGCGTCCCCGAGCAGATCGGAGAACGTCCGGCGAGAATCTCCGACCGGAAACCGAGAGCCGTCCGTCGTTCCGAGCTTTTCTTCCGTCCAGAGGAATCGAGATACATTGGATCAAGAACGTAACGCGACATCGTGACGGGACTTTAAAGCGACTCGACCCGCTTTCCGGGACAATACGTCATGCGGCGGCGTGATCGATACCTTTTTCGGAGTGTTATCCGGCCGACGCTCGAGGTGGGGTGACGCGTGGAACTTTCTCGTCTGCGAAAAAAAGGTCAAATTTCTCGTACGAAAAGAAACGAGGGTGTCTGAGGGGAGACAAAGTCGATGAGCCATGCTTCTGATACTTTTTTTTGTTTTTTGAGAGCAGAAGGTGTACGGGCGTGGTGGTTTTTTTAAAGAAGTGATTTATGGCAGCGTGATTCTTCTTGTTACGATTGACGCCAAGTGCCAGACTATGGAATTAGATAAATTAGACGTAACGTGTAAGAATCGCAGAACTTTTGATATTCATTCGGAGCGAGGAGTACGGTGTAAAGAGGAGGGTGGCTTTCGAGAACGATGATTAACGATGCCGCGGTTCTTCGCGTTTTGTTTCGCGCTGGACGAGAAGAAGAATCGTAGAAATGAACGACGTTGATAGAACGAAAGATGATGTCAAAGAAATTTTAATATAAATATGAGAGAACAGGGATTAAATGGAACGATCTCGCGAAATTAAGATAATCAAGTGGAATCTACAATCCACAGGGCGCCTTACAATGCCGATGTCCACGGTTACGTCTAATTGTCAGCTAAATGTCTGTCCCTCGGTGTGACAGTGATCCGCGCATAAACCCGGGAGATACAGTCGGTTCGACGAGACATTGTTACCGTGGTAATGTTAACGTGCAGGTGTGCGACGGTTGTTGGTGTGAATGATGCAAACAACGATACGCCGTCGTGCACGCAATCGATGTGTATTAACACGCTCTAATTCGGGCGTAGGAGTGTAATTGAAGAAGTTAATGAAATTCTGTCGACCGTCTTCTGATCTTTCATGCGAAACGTGTACGTCGATCGTGCGTCGATCGTTTTTCTTTGTCCCTGTGTCTTAATTAATAAACAACGCAACAATCTCTGTAACCGTGTGTACAGACCGTGTGTACGTACGTACGTACGTACGTGCATCGTAAAAGTGAAAATAATTGGAAGAACTAAGGTGACTTTATTTTAGTAATTAACGCGTGACTTTCGAGTAACTTTATCGCTGGTTAAGTCGTCCTATATACTGAAAGCTTCAACCCTGTTACACGGCACGATTCTAAGAACTGGGACGAGTCCATAGCTCTTTTCTAAGCACGGATAAGAGAAGTTGGTCGTGGGAAAACGCTACGCGGTTTAATAAGATCTACCCTCCTTTGACTATATATTTTCTTTGCAAACCAGGAGAAAATCATGATTACAGTCTCTCTCTCTCTCTCTCTCTCTCTCTCTCTCTCTCTCTTTCTCTCTCTCTTTGAGGCTGGAATAATCAAACGTGGAGCTTTTTCCTTGCAGAGGAAAAAATGTAGTATTACTGTGATACTTGATGCAGTCAAATCAATGTAAAACTCTTAATCAAATCCAAATATTATTTTTCCTTGAATTACTTTTGTGTCTACGTATATAATTATGTGTCTATGTATTTTGCGCAATTACTTATGTATCTACGTTTAAATATTTCTCTCTTTTATGTTAATAATTGCAACTTGAATAGTCGACTTGAAATCGATGTTTCTCGTTGAGACGGAGCTGTTGAACGCGCGAGCGAAGCGATTTGAATGAAGCTTTGCTAAAAACGCGCGACCGTGGATGATCATCGAAAGGTGAAAGTAATTAAGATAAGTTGACTGAATGTCAAGAGTGCATAGGCCACCGAGAACATTGGAACATTGGAAGGCAATCAAACGACTCGTTCGACTCGTGTGGAAACAACACGAACAAACGTCCCTGGATCCGCGTGCTGGTTCAGGTTCGCGTCTGAGACGTCAAGCGCCAACTATTATTCATCCATCCGCTTCTATCGTCCGCCGCTTCCGAGTAGGAAATTACGAATCGCGATGTCTAGCCGATCGAACGTCGTCTGACGTCTGTTCTTGAAAATAATCTCGCGACGTTACCTCACCTCGCCACGATAGTCCACGACTTCTTCTTGATTGATGTTTAATTAACGAATCTGCGGCCATTGCATTGACGTCAAGCGGCCTCGAGAGTAATTTTCCCTATCGATCCCTATCGAGGAGCCGATCGTTAACGTAGATAACGTTTCCCCTTATCGTTCACCGAGTTCATTTGTTGCGCAGCTTCGAATTGAACGAGCAAAGCTATTTCGATATCTCTCCGTTGATTTGATTAAATTTCGACGAAAAGAACGAGAGAGAGAGGGGCATTCATTTTTAGTCCGGTTCCAGGCTAAAAGGGTAAACAGACGCTCGGCCGACTCGTTCGCGTTCGATCGAAGTTAAATCGGAGTTTCTTCCGGCAGAGTGAGTTAACTGAATGCCTAATCGGGCAGAGATCAGAATTCGTCTGGATCATTCGGTGGTACCAAAATCGGATGAATAATTCGACGGTGACCTCGGTGGCCTGCAATTATCGGCGAGCCGTGAGCACGTTAGGATCGCGGGGTGTGATGTAGGTTAGAACCTACGCCAGGAACATGCAAATACTCTCACCGGTACTGTTAATTAAAGCTCGACGCGCCTCAAAAATTCCGTCAGATTCGAATCGAGTTTCTATGATTTTCTGCCTCTGAGACTCTCCGTTCTCTATTTGGCAAAGGAGAGGACAGAAAATAGAGAGAAATCTCGTATCTGCGTTTAATACTTTAAACGTCGAGCGTGAAATAAATCTGGGATAATTGCTCGAGCGTGAGGAGCGACGAAATTAACCAACAATTTGGGACATGTCGAATCGTGATCTATCAAATATTCACCGACGTTTCCTAATATGCGGTGACGTAACTCGTCAATTTCAGCGTTACGTCAAACAAACGCGATGAAACAAAGAATCATTCGAAAAATATACGATCGATGAAACTTCGCTCGTATATTTTTTTTTTTTTTTTTTGGACTCGTCTTTTTTCACTGAGCTGGTTAAACGAAGCGGGAGAACGTAATTCAAATTTTGGTCAGTGATTCTGGACCGCGATTCCGAATCCTGTATCGCGGCATCCCGCAACAGAAGCAAACACACTGTCAACGCGTATTTTCCGGTTGGTAGAATCGTTTTGTATCCGAATTGGCCAGGCCGGACGTTTATAAATTTGAATTTGAATCGGTTGTTCGGTGGTTGCCCGTTGGTAGACAAAAGGCGATATTATTTTCGCGAGGAGGACGTTTCTGTCCGCGCGTGTGACGCGCGATCGAGATCGCCGGCCAATCAAATTCTTACTCGCCGCTCGTTTTCGACGCGAAAGGCAAAGCCCGCGAAACGTCGAGTATCTGGCACAAAGGCAGTTCGATGCTATCGAATTTCTTGGGTCAACCTTAATTAAAAGTTTTAATTAAAGGTTAGCGCGAGACTAGGCTCGCACGGTTTATGCATATTCAACGTTGTAAAACATTTTTCGCGGTTCCCGTTCCTCTTGATTTTTTCTTTTTTCCTTTTTTTTTTTTTTTTTT